TAAAATGAGTGGAAAAATAACGGAGTGCTTGATTGTTCCGAGTGTACATTTTGATCCACTACAAGAAAAATCCTAAATAGCTACGGAAAGTTGTTACGGAATCGAAATTTGTAGCTATTCTATTACGGATTGTGCTACAAAATGGTTTTTCGTAGCTACTTGCTATGAAAATGGCTACGGAGTTACATTCCGTAGCTAAATTAAGAATAACTACAAAAAGTTGCTATGCAATCAAAATTTGTAGATATTATACTACAAAATATGCTACAGAATGGTTGGACGTAGCTATTTTTCTACGGAAATGGCTACGGAGTTGCATTTCCGTAGCTAAATCTCAAATTGTTGCCACAAAATAAAAATTTGTAGCTATTTTACTACAGAATATACTACAAGGTTGTTGGTTGTAGCTAGTTTGCTACAGAACTTATTACATAATCCATTTTCGTAGTTAGTGGGCTACAAAAATCAGTGACGAAATAAAAATTCATAGCTAGTTGGCTACACAATAGAAATACGTAGCTATTTTGTGACGAAAATTTGTTACACAATAAAAATCTATAGCTAATCTACACGAAACTTGTAACGGAAAGGTTAACTGTTGTTATTTGTTTATCTAAGTTGTTTTTGAATTTGCAAAATAGCTACAAAATTTAAATCCGTAGCTATGTGGCTACGGAATATTCCGTAGTTAACTAGCTATGGAATATGCTTCCGTAGTAAAGAACCGAAAAATATTTTACCAACAAAAATATATTATTGATTTTAATTGTGTTATGATTTTAATTTAATTTAATTAATAAATCTCTTTACGTATTCTTACAAGTTTTTTCTTTATTCTTATTATCATTATTTTGTTAGATACAGTATTATTTTTAATAGGGATATGCTTTGCAAATTTCAAAAGGACGAGGGATATAAGTGCATGTTTTCCTTTTTGTTCGATCCAAATCTGTTCACGGTTCACCAAGTTAGACGGCTAGATTAAAATCACCCATAGTTTCAACAGAGTTCTGATGTCGTCGACTACTATCGACATTACACAGATCTCCGACGGTGTAATTAGGCAAAATTGTTCAACAACAGTGTACCGATTCGGTGACGCACGACCTTCCCGATGAATTCGGCATCAAGATGCGGTCCCGACCACGAAGAAAGCAAGAAAGTTGGAGTTCCGAGGGAAAGTGAGTTAGCATCTAACGCGATGGTGGCCGATTTTGCTTATTGATGCGGCAGTGCTACTTCTTCTTTTCGAGGCTTTGGAATTTTGCTGAAGATCGAGTACGATCAAATCGGGACTTGGTATTCATGAAAAAAACCTAATGTAGTAGCATCCCGGCTAAGAAATCGGAGGGAACTTAAATCATCTAGATTCTCCATGTAAGTCACTCATAATATCTTCTAGCGTTTGAATTGCATTTATTAGGATTATACGCACGTAGGTCTTGTTCCTTGAGCAAGGTTTGATTGATTTAATTAGATGACAAGTTGTTTCTCGCTTTGGTTGGATTGGTAAAAGGCTGGAATTTTTTCTAGATTAGTGATACGAACAATCCATGGTAAAAATCAATGATTAAATTGTGAAACTCTTTAGTTCATGTTTACTAAACTATGACCTCAAAGTTAATGGTTGTAACGTTATTCTGACTAGAGTATTAAGATGAATATGAACATATATGCCCCTCCCAAACTCCATGAATCTGGAGTATATCATTTTCATATTGATAATATGAATATGATGGGCAATATTCAACACATGAATTAAAAAAAAGACAGAAGAAGTACAGTATTGACAAGCTAGAAAAGATGATATGAATATGATGATACGGCATACTATTACTAGGTATGATTAATTAGCAATGAAAGAATAGAGTTAGGGTTTGGGAACAAATTGTAATTAGGATTTTGTATGCCTTCTTTTTATTCAGCTTTGCAACAGATTGGAAGGACATTTCTATTCACTTTATGACAAACTTTCACATATGGTATCAGGTTGCTTAAAGATTCTACCTCCTGAATAACTTCAACATATGGATTAACAACATCAAATGAAGACAAAACTTTCATGAAAACATGAAAAAGTATAGTTTCTACTTGCACATTTGGTGGTGGGATGATCTTTATCAGCCGATTGGGATATCAGATGCCTCACTTGAAAAGGTCTGCACTCTGCATATTAATATGCATAATTTGAATTAATTTATGAGTACTTAATTCTAATGATCTCACACTTACATATAGGTCTGTATTTTGGGACGAAAATACCCTTGCAACATAGGAAGCCCAGGGACATATATTTAATGAGGACGATTTATTGGAAAGTGGCATATTGTGATTGTTAGAAATCTTCCCTTCATATATAAGAGATTGAATGGAAGAACCCCAAAGGTAAAAAACTTGTTTCTTATTTACTTTGAATTATATTTAAGTCTAATTAATAATAATAAAGTTCTGACAGAGTGTTTTCATAATCTGTTTCCATTATGGTCTATTTCTATTAGGGATGTTCCAGTAAACACTATGACAACAACTTGGGCTTTAAACATTTTTAAAGAATTACACTTCACATCTAGATTTTTTTCACATATAATTTCAATCTTGAAGTCTCTTAATCATCCATAAATCATTATGATTTCATGTTCCATCATGTTTTATGTTCATTTTGATGTGTTGTTATTATCTTTATATGAGACATTGTAGCTTGTATGATGCGATAAATGGATCATTCATACCATTACAATATTCTTTACATTTTTCCTCTTGAATAGTTATTATCTCACAAGATATAATCATTAGTTCTTCTGAAAGGGTAAAGTTTTTGAGGGGTAAAAGGGTTAAGTTGCTTTAAGGATTAACATTACATATGTCCTCAAACTTTTTTCTTTACTTTATGGGCCAAATTGGCCCCCAAATGTCAAGGGTACTCTTATTCCAAAGCTTTTGCCACTAAGAATAGGGGAAATGCATATTTTTCTTACCTTTTCAAAATCTTTTGTTTATAACTTCATTTCAAGAATCTTTGATCTCATCTTTTATTGTTTTTTACATATGTTTAACCGTTCATTTTTTCCATCTGTAGGCACACTATTTTGTATCCATGTTCGTGTCCATGTAATGGATGTAATCATGGCTTGTTGGGAGCTAGAAAAATCTCTATACAGCTTAACAGGTAATCACTCATTACCATACAATCCCGTCAGTTGATGGTAAAAATTAAAGAAAACAAAGTCCAAATATAATATTCAATTTAATAATTTTTAATATATTGGTTTTTTGGAATTAGGTAGCAATATCAATAATAAGATCATAAACAACTCCTGCCGCTACCATTAAAAAATTTCAGTATGCAAATTTGGTTGTTTTGCAATCAGCTGTGATTATACTGCAGATAAGAAAGCACACAAAAACTTAAACATCTAAATCTTTAATTACTAGATTACCTTTTATAATAGATAATCAAGTTTTGTTTTATAAAAACAAGTTAATATCTAGGTGTCTAGGATCATTGTATTGTCATTTTGTTTTAACTTTATTTCAAATCCTTTTGGCAACATGCTAACGTTGGATCTGATGGTGCTTAAAAGGTGATTCATTTTGTTTCTTGTGTATATGGTAATAGTGTATCAAATTGAAGAGTTGGATTGTTTTTTTTGTTAATTTCCAAAATTTTAAATCTATAGTTGGTCAAAAACTAGAGATATAATGGGATTTCATACAATAGATTTTAATGTTAATCAAGTTGTTTATAAATTTGATTTTGTAGGTTGTGCCATTTTTGTTGAACATTTGTGGCTGCTGTTTGTGTGTTTGTGATGGTTCGAGTCTGAACAGCGTGACAATATTTGTAATGAATATTTAGTTTTGATGATTAGGGAACCATGTAAAAGGATTTTCAGTTATGTAATATATCTATAAAAATCTATGTAACTATTAAAATTATATTTATTGGATTTTTATATATTTCAATGAATATTATAAATGAAAATTAGATTTTGTTGAATATTTTTATCATTATGAATTTACTTTGGAACCTATTTTTGCTATGAAACAATTGGCTATGAAATTTGAAACATAACAAATAGCTATGAAATTTGTTATTGAAAAATTAGCTACGGAATTTGCTACTGAACAAATGGCTACGAAATTTGCTACGGAACAAACGGCTATGGAATTTGTTACGGAACAAATGGCTACGAAATTTGTTACGGAACAAATGACTACGGAATTTGCTACGCACCTCATTGTTACGGAATTGTTATGGAAGTGTGGTGTAGTTAAATAGCTACGAAATAAACGCCGTAGCAAAACTGCAATGGAACTATAATTTTGTAGCTAAACAGTTTGCTATAAGAAATATATCTACGAAATCTCATTGACAAATTCCGTAGCAACTTTTGTAGTTATTCAGGTTTAGCTACAGAATTTTAGCTTTTAGCTACATAATTTTTTCGTAGCTAAATCAAAATTTTCTTGTAGTGATCCTTGTCTCTCTTTAATTTGTTTGTGTCTTTTTTGTTTTTTTATCTCCTAACTTCTTGCTTACCTTGCTAGTTTTATTCATTATATATGCTTTTAGTTTTAAAAAAAGATTTGTTATTTTAATTATTATGAAGGATTTGTTTGATATCAAAGTAAATAAATAAGTGATGTATAAACTCGTGCTAATAATATATTGAAACATAATAATAATTTTCTATAATTAAAGCTTCTAAAACTAGTGCTTAAGTAAATACGCGTGACACGAGTCAATTAACGTGGTCCGCGGAATCCCAAGATCTCCGGAGCCATAAGCTTGGCGCCGATTAGTTGCTGACTCACTTTCAACTGTTGTGTCTTTTATTATTATTCGAACAGATAACAACACTGTACTATTTGGATAACATCCATCCTCGTTTCCAACTCATCGCCACGTCTTCATCCTCAACCTCGGCTTATAAATCACCATCCCAAATTCCCCATTCGTCAAAAGATATTCAAAATCTCTCATCATTTTCTTCACATCAATGGCGATTTCAGCTTCATCTTCCCTCTTTACTTTCCCTAATCTCCACGTCAACTCACACCCACCTTCAAAAACCACTTCAACCTCTATCAGATTCACAAGAGCTCGAATTTCAGCTGCTTACGCCACAGCAGAGAGGACTTCAACGGCGACGGAGACAAGTAGCTCTTCCGGTAATGGTAGTCCATCCTCGCTATATGAGCTGCTGGGGGTTCAAATCGGAGCTGATAGTGGAGAGGTGAAAGCAGCGTACCGGAGATTAGCGAGAGTTTTGCATCCTGATGTCGGAAGTTGTGACTCGTCGGCAGATGAGTTCATGAAAGTGCATTCGGCTTATGTTACTCTTTCAGATCCGGTAAAACGAGCGGCTTATGATCGGAGTCTGGTGCAGATGAGATCTTCCGGCAGCTGTATGAGCCGGAGATGGGAGACGGACCAGTGTTGGTAATGCATCCTTGAATCTCGATCCTCGTTTTAGAGATCCTGAGCATGTAAATGTACATAGTAAAGTGGGTTCCACTTCATGAACCATTTTCATGATTCTTGTTAGATTTTGAAGGCACAGTGTTGGATTTTATAGAAGGTTTTCATCTTCTTGCTGTTATTTCTTGATTGTTATTGTATGGCTTCAATATAAGAATGTGGTTCATTCAAACGAGTGAACGACCATAATTCATTTGAAAATATCGCAATAACAAAAGTAGAGTCTATGGTTTTGTTTTTTGATTATATATAATGTAATGATCTTTAAAAATTGCATGCAAAAAACTTTATATATTTAGAAAAATTATAAAGAGAATCATAAAATTAAATTTGCATGAAGTGGTTTTTATTTATAAGTCAAAAACACGTACCGATTAAGTTTTGCTCCATCAATTATACTTTGAGATCGGGTTAGATTCGAATTTATTGGATGTTGTCGGATTGTATATCCAAATTGTTTATTAGTTTATTAAGATTAAGATTAAAATATATTAAAAAGTGCTTATTAATTTACGAAGAATTTCGTATAATAAGGTCTAAATATTGTATTTGTCCGACCTAAATTTTAAATATCATATTCGTCATTCTTAATGTTTTAAAATATTAGATTTGTCTGAATCTATATTTTAAATAGTTTTTATCATTTAATAATCCATTTTTACAATTTAAAATCATTAAAATTGAAACAAATAACTAAATGGACAATAATACCCTGCCTGCGCCACGCAGACCACCCGCAGACATTAACATTCGCAGACTGTTTGTTTTTTTGAAGATTGCAGACCTAAAAATGTCCGTGCGCCCTCCTCTTGGCGCTGATGTGGACCAGAGTCTTCTAACATCTTCAGACATCTTCTAGCTTAAAAAAACACATATATCTTTACTTTTTAAATTTTTTTTTTAAATTTAGATTTATTCCAACTTTATTAATGATAAACAATTTGAAAAAAATTACAATACTTAAAAAACGTTCAACGACACAAACATGATATTTTTGACAAATTTATAAATAAAGATTTATTACAATAATAGTCATTGAAATTTTTTTATATAAATATGAAAAAAAATCATAATATATTCTTATATTTTTTGTGCCAAATTTTATAAAACATTATTTAATACAATAGCGTCAATTTCTCGAGAAAATATTTATGGTACGTTTTTAATGAATTTAATTGAAAAAATCGAAGTTTATTTCCATGCATTTATGTATCAAATTCTTTGATTCCTAATTATAATGTTTAGTTATAACTTTGCAACCAAAATTGTTGATTTTTATCAAATATATATGTTATTTCATACAATTTTTATTTTTTATACAATAATACATAAACCTTGATATAGATTTGTTAATTATTTATAACAAAGTCATAAAAATATTTAAAAAATCACTTTGACGTTTAAAAAAATCAGTTTATTCAGATTTCAGTTTATTTTAGTAGCCCGCAGATGTTAAAAAAACAAACAGTCTTCTTTTTTTAGACTACAAACGTTTGGTCCACCTCTTCTACTGCAGAGGTCTACAAATATGGTCCGCAGACTGCAGACATTTTGCCTCAGAAAAAACAAACAGCATCTTAGCGATCATCATAACCTATGTCAACCTCTTTTTTTGCCTTCTCACCTCTTCTTTATTGCAAGTTGTTACGATTAATTATCAGGTGAAAACAGTGACACCAAATAAGAGCATATAAAAGAAATCAACAGTCTTTCCCTTAAATTCTATAAGTCTTCTGTTTGCGTTGGCTTCTAATTGAGGCAACCAATCATCTTCACTAGACTCTAGTTCCTCACATCATTTTCCTGTGTAGTTAAAGTGTTTTTCTCCACTATGGTTGATTTAAGGATTTATGGCCTGCATTAATAAAACAAATTGCAAATAAGTATTCTTTTATTGAAGACTTTGATATCATTAATAAACAAACTAATCATTTTGGAGACTTTTGTAATGCTCTAACTTGTTCATGGAAAATAACCTGAAAAACAACACAAGCCACTTTTCTTCAAGACTTAACAACCTCTTCTCCCCCACTATCGTTCATCACCACAAAACTACCTGCAACATTGTACATTGTATACTAACTTATAATTCACAATTTGTATGGATTAATGTAAGAAATAAAAATAAAAATTAACACATTTAACTGATTAAATGAGCACATTACACCGACAATTACACAAATTAACATATTAGATCCATCGAATTAGAGTCACTACACCAGCGCCGATCTTGTTGGCTCCTTTAATTCCAAGATTTTCATTCTTTTCATCTTTAAAAAACACATCTGTTTCACAATTATCATTTGAACTAACAAGCTGTAATCAAACAGAAAAAATAGCAAGCAAAAATTACATCTCACAATGATGTAAGCTCTGTTGTATACATATTACATATTAGTTCATAAAGAAAACCATAAAATAGAATTGAACTAAGATTCATCATAAAGGTAAGAAGCAAATGACTTATCAACTTAGCATTAGTTCTAATCTCACATTCTCAAATCAGAAATAACAACAATCTTTCACATTTGAACAAAAAAATAGCAAGCAAAAGTTACATCTCGCAATGTGTGTAAGCTCTGTTGTATGCATATTGCATGTTAATTCACAAATAAAACCATAAAACTGCTGTTTTTAGCCAATTGCAAAAGAAATATGGCGAAAAGACCAAAAAAGACGTATATAGGTTAAGAAGATGATTGTGATAAGAATTAATCACACCAGGTAAAGTGATATGAGCATAATTAGTCATATATTTTGTGTTAAATCTTAATACTTTTTGACTATTTTATTGCAAATTATGAACAAAAGGTACTTAAATATGTTTAAAATGTATTTGTAGCCTAAAAGATGAGCTCGGAAGCAAAAGGAAGGGGATTTAGCAATTGGAAGCTTGGATCTTGGATTTTGAAGAAAGAAGGATGTTGCTGGACAGCTTGATCCCCCGTCCGTGTTTTGGCCATATCTTATGAACCGTAACTCCGATTAACGAGATTCAAAAATGTTCTGAAAACTAGACACAATTTCGGACGACTTTCGTGTTTTGAGAAAATGTTGATTCCAAATGGACTCGAAGAGTTGGCCATCAACTCGACGAGTTGGTCAGAAGTTTCGCGATTCTTGACGCTGACTTGTCGTCCACAGATTTTAAGTGATGGACTCGTCGAGTCGGTCACTGGACTCGTCGAGTCGGTCACTGGACTCGCCGAGTCGCCCCTTTTTTCAGAATATATATATAGAAACGCTTCTCATTCGAACCCTAACTAATGGGGGAAGCCTTGGACGATTTTTGAAGGCCATAAGGGTTCTTGGAGCTCTAGTTTTCGAGAATTCAACCTAAGAAGCAATTTAGAAGAGATCAAAGGCATATATGTAGCACCTGGTTCCTGGTATGTATTTTAATTAAGTAATTTTGCATTTTTGGCCTTGGACTCGGAGAGTTGAAGGACCAACTCGCCGAGTAGAAGCGGGATGAGACGCGGGATTTAAGTGATGGACTCGTCGAGTCGGGTCCCGGACACGACGAGTAGGCTCTGACTGGACAAAACCCTAATTTGAGGGTTTGCACCCTATTTAAACAACCTTATACAACCTCCATCGCCCCTTTATGCTCCCAGAAACCCTCCATAGCAAACCCTAAGTGTTTTGGTGCAAGATCTAAGGCTTTTGAGTGATTTTTGTGGGTTTTGACCTCAAGGAAGGAGGAAGAGCATAGAAGGATCAAGAGGGGACTGAAGGATTCGAGTTTGGTTCATCATTTGCAGTCTTTGAAAGGTATAAAGTCTGTACCTTGCTTGCTTGTTTGTTAGATCCCTTTTTGGGGAAGATTTAGGGCTTTTTAAGCCATATGAGGTAGCCAACCATGATTGCAAACATGGTTGGGGGTCAAGACTTTGTATCTAAGTCTTGGGAGGGGTCACAAGGCAGATTTGGGTTGCTTTTGCACTCAAGGAAGGCCCCATGCATCATAAGAGCCATTTTAGAGCCTTTTTAGCTCAAAAGTCCCATGCATGCACGTAAAGTTCGAAACTTTACGTGCTAGATCGAGCTTAGGGGCTTGGATATATCATTTGGACAAGTGTTGTACATCAGAAATCGAGGATTTAGGGTGTGGATGTTATCGACTCGGCGAGTCCGTTCGTGGGACTCGACAAGTCCAGGGCTTTGAGTCCCATATCTGTTGAGGGTCAAAAGAACTCAGTTGGGTGTTAGAAGGGTTGTAGCAGGACAGAAAGAGTGACCCAACGCATTGGACTTAGTTTTAGACCTGGAGTTCATGGGACTCGACGAGTGCTAGAACAGACTCGGCGAGTCCAAGGCAATCTTCTTATGTTTGAAGATGAACTCGACGAGTTGTTCATACAACTCGGCGAGTCAAGGTCAGGACTTGTTCTTCAGTTGAAGGTGAACTCGACGAGTTGTTCATACGACTCGACGAGTCGGATGAAGGTTCATTGATGTGCGTAAAGAAGGGGAACTCGTCGAGTCGTTGCCAAACTCGACGAGTCGGGTCGTGGATAAGGACGAGTAAAGGGAAGGAACTCGACGAGTTGACGGCTCAACTTGGCGAGTCGGGTCAACTGGAAGTTGACTTTGACTTGGACTTGGTTGGGGGTAAAATAGTCATTTTACCCTAAGAGTAGATATCAGATTCTGACTGAGTATTTTGTGGGGATTGTAGCCGGAGGATTTTCGGAGCAGCAGCAGATAGAGGTTTCCCGCACGGATTATCAGCAGCTACTCGTACGAGGTGAGTTACCTTCCAGTAGGGGTGGGTCTAAGGCCACGATGTCGGCCCACCACAGAGGGATATTTAGAAGATGATTGTCTTTGTGATAATTATCTTGGTCTGGTTATGTGCTTTGGTCACGAGTTTTATCTGTATGATATGTTATGTGTATAATAGGGATTAGTTTCCCTAACAGTGGTCCTTAGGACCGAAGGGTAGGTCAGTACCCGGATATG